ATATTAAAGTTTTATTCAAATTCAATAATTATTTATTAAATTATAATAAAAAATATCAGTCCAAAGACTTTTGCACCAAACTGTATATTGAAATTTTAGAAAATAATCTTTGACTTTTATTGATGAATTAGATAATTATTTAAAATATATTTTTCAAGATAATAATGCTTTAATTCATTAGACAAAAATAATCAAACAATAATTAGAAAATAATTTGATAACAAATATTTCTTGACCTGCATAATTATCATATCTTAATCCAAATGAATATTTTAAAAAAAGAATTTATAAACATAATTTTTATCAAAATTAATGATTATTTTTTTAAAAAAAATAGAATCAATTCAAATTAGAAAATTTAAAAAGTTTTAATAAAAAGTATACCAAAAAGAATTCAGGCTGTAATAGATAGTAATGGAAATTCAACAAAATATTAATAGTATTAAACCTTTGTGAACACATTAGTAACTTTAAAAATTGCGATGATCAACGTGTGATCGGATACTTTTGACAGGTGAGTGTACATCATCGAAGCTTCCTATACCCGATAGAATACTTATAATCTCAGCACTGCATAATCAACCGTTACAAGAATGCATGGGAGTACACGGCTTTGCTGATAAAACACACTACGTGAAAATTTTTGCCATCATCGAATCAGAACTTAAACCGAGTGAATGGCAGGGATATCTAACTACTCTATTATAGATTCGGAAAGTCGGTCATCATTAACACGTCTTTAATAGATACGTAGTTTGATCATCATATGAATAGTTGATCAGTGATATATGATCCTAACTTTTTTTTGCGAACAAACTCAAAATGTCCACTTCGCGCTCTCCAAACTCTGGTTGGAAATCAGTAGTAAAGAATGTAAATAAAATCCGAAATAAAATAGTCCATAACTATCCCAAACTGCCAAAATTTTCCTTAGGAGAAGAAAAGTGAGTATGCCTCACGGGTTTCCTTAAGATATGCTCAATATGGATTTATATGGTCTGCAGTTTGCCCTTTCAGATTGGGTCGAAAGTTTCGGTGAAAGACTATAATACTTTTCTTGATCGCAACGAATCAACCGGATACAAGTTTCATTGGGACAGCGGAGATGTATACATTATTGATACGTCCTACCCAGTTCATGAAGCTGTTGTTGCACGGTTGATGAAATACTTTAATGATGATCCTCCAATAGATGTTGAAGGTCAACCATGTAAGAGAATTCTCTCTAGTTCTACTTGATCTTTGGATCGTGATAACATTTAATTTTTCCTATAGATCATTATGATCCAACTGTTATCGGAAAAAAACTAGCATCAGACATTGTAATCTACCCAGATGTGGCACATGTTCAAAAACCTACTTTTCCACATCCTGGTCATCCCCCCAGCGATCTAGAGGTACATCGAATTGTATACATTATCATATTTATTTTCTTAATATTAACATGTTCACATAGGGAAATCCTCATGGACGAATATTCTGCGAAGTAGCTACATATCAAAGCGTCGCTCTCTGGGAAGAAAAATGTAAGAATTGGATGCATGAACAATATGTGCGATGTGTATTAGGTATCAAACTTTATGGTATAAGGAAAGGAAGTCATCATCGGTCAATGACGGTATGTCCAACTACCTGCTTCATTATTCCATAGTCTCATCTTTTTTTAATGTTAGGCCAAATTATGGACACATCAGAGACCAGCACCACCAGCAGTGAGTTCAACAGAACCAACAATGCCGGGAATATTTGTCCAAGAGGTAAGATTAATCTACTGTTAGTATTTTTCGTGATCAAGCATCAGAGGCTTAAAGTATAGCTTTGTAATATGATAGTGGGACTTTGGAACTTTACAATATAATAGTAGTCAACCTACTGGTTGCACCGGTGCGAACATTCCTGCCTACCAAATAAGTATTCCGGTATCGGACGTTTTCTGGGATCCACCAATTGTTGCAGGAATTCCGAATACAACCGGATATAACGTAACAGTTCCTAATGCAGTTGTCGGCAATAATTTCATCATCGATTTATATAGAATTCAACAAATTGTTTTAAAAAAACAGCGTTAAAAGATTAGTTCGCTACAATATAGTGACTTTTACAATGAAAAATCTAGCATGTTAATAAAATTCTGTGTAAATCAAAAAACCGATGGACAAAAACTCATATCCATTTAGTTGACCCGAAATGTTATAATCCGTATCATTATAGTTTATCTTCCGATGCGTTCGCACTCAATAGAAAATAAAAAATCCAACGTGAATAGCTTTATAGTGTGTAAATGCGTATAAACTAATTAAAAAATGCGCTGTACGTATATAGACGATGATCGATTGATTAATTATATTCGCATTTCGGTTTCTTCTTTCGCTGATTAGTGTCAGTCCACATTACTAAGATTCTAACGCGACTCAATTGCGATATACCTGTTTTTCATAGAATTGTTTTGCATTCACATAGTGGATATATAGGAAAAAATTACTGCAACTCAACCGCGACTACATCGCACCTTAATCGTACCTTCATCGCATCAATATTATAAGAATGTAAAAAGGAAAAATTTTTTAATATAAATAATCAATATTACGTACATTAATACGCGCAAAATTGATCGACGATCCAGTCTTCGATTCTCTGATTTTGTACAAGTTTCCCCGGTATTTAAATCATAATAATATCCTTCATCATCTTCATCGGAAAATAGCTGAATTACTGTATATCTATCTTCTCTCTCATTATCAGAGAAGTTCTCATTATCGACATTATCAACATCAGAGGAATCCAAATTAAAATCTAAGGAATTATCGGATATACTTACCTCTTCCTCAGGTAAAGATTCTTTTTTCTCACTCACCTCATACTGTATTTCTAATTGCAGGAGGTAGATACAGAATGACTAGCCTCTTTCCCCTCGAAAGCTTCCATGATCATTTTATCATAATCGTCCTCAGCTTTGGGCGAATTGACTGGACCGAATTCTGAGGAATCATCTGAAGAATTAAAGATTATTGTTAAAGGAATAGGTGCGGTTGATATGTTTACTTCAGCTGAAACTGCTTCCGATGCATTAGTCTGATCATCAGAAACCTCCTCTTCGGAATTTATGATAGAGTCATCCTGTTCATCCGGTAATTCAGTGTTGAGATTCTTAGAGAAGTAATCAATAATAGCTTGAATTTTATTATCGGATAATTCTGCAATAGAATTCACGCTATATGTTTTGATATACTTGATTTTATCGATTCCTATTTTTTCGATAAATTCATAAATCTTCCTGGCTCTACTGATGCGTTGATGTAAAGTATTTCGTTTGGTACCAGGATTGTGTGCAAGAATAAAATTGTAAATCTGTCCTTTGGCCTTTTTCATACCCACCTTTTCTTTGATCATAATTTCATCCACACTTTTATCCAGTCCTATAATAAAACTACACCAGCATAAAATTTCTGCCTGATTGGTTTTATTGTTTTATCTTCTGCATTACATGCATCTTCATATAAGCGGGCTATATTATTCAATGCATCTGAATCTTCCTCACGGCCCGTAAGCGAAAATTTTTTATCAGATTCATCCATGGTGAAATCAAATACATCTTGCACGATATTTTCCACTTCTTTCTTTTTACGTGATCGAACTTGTTTGTTCTGTTACTGATCCTGAAGTATTTCCACAGTTTTTGAATCCGAAAATTTAGAGACTTCAGACGAATTATCTGGTGTGATCACTACGCAACCCCGCTCTCCAGAAATTGATTCTTCTAGCGACATCAGTGAAGTAGATGGCATGACGGTTTCTGTACTATCTGATGACTTCGATTCATGCAGTAGCTTCTTCTCCCTATTACGTTGCCTTATCCCATTGCTAACACTTTTCTTATGCGCATCATCCAAGAAGGTATCCATTTTCTTGTCCTCCGATGACTTCTGATCACTCATACAAGATGGCGGAAAAGTGACCTGATCCCTTTGGAACCCCTTATTACAATGATCTATAATAATGCTAGGTACATTGACAATTACTTCGGGAGAAATATCTTGGGTTGGCTATTTGCTCTCCTCATTTCCATCCCTTGCCTGAGCGCCTTCGGCTAGTTTCACTACTTCGGCCTTTAGCTCAGCAAACTCAACATCGCGTCTAACGTTCTCGGCTGAAGAATCTACCTTACATTTCTCCAACTCCTCAATTCTAGTCTTGAGTTCGGCATTCTCAGCATCACGTCTCTTACTCTCTTCCACAGCCTGACTTAGAGCTTCGGCAAGCCTGGCCTTAAGCTCAACTTTCTCTGATTCAAACTCGGCTAACTTCCTTTTAAGATTAGGGATCTCAGCATTCTCCTTTCTAAGCTCTACAATTTCAGCTAAGAGTTTAGCATTTAATTCTCTTAACGAATCAACGGAGTGAGTATTTGTCATTATTTTTTTACAAATTATGCGATATATTCAAAATAAAAAATCACGTGTTTTTCCTCACGGCCCGTAAGCGAAATTTACCAAGAAAATTTTTATTAGCCGAAGCCTTGCTCATGTAAAAATAAATACAAAGGTTCGGGACTTAGCCCGGTATACATATTGCTGGAAGCAACACAGTAGCTATTTTTTGGTAATTTTTTCTTGCACGCGTCGCTTCTTATTTTCAGGCTCATCACACGCCAACACCCTATCTTTCAATAACCCTACGACTATACTGATTACCTGTTTTATATCTTCCCTCAGACTTTCTTGATTTCCCTTGAGCGCTTTTTTCGTAAGATTTATTTGATATTCACTATTGCTAGTACAAAAAATTCCTTCGGAAGTGAACATGATAAAATGCCAATCTGCGCCTAAAAATAAATCAGATAATTAGCAAAGCCAGAACGAAGATCATGACAAGAGTTGACCTATGAATCTGCTCAATAATAGAAAATTTTTCTCGTACCAGTCGACACAATCCCATATAGATAGTCATAATCCTCGGCCTTAAATGCTTCGTCCGCAGTTCGCTTCTTCTTGTTCATGTGAAAGGAACTCTCGAGTTGTTTTATATTCTGTAGATATCCTATCTTGACGTTTCGTGGCTTACCCTCGGTGATACACAAAAGGTCTTCCATTCCGGTTATTGCGTAGTCGACTCGGCCGGACGCTTCTTCACCCGAAATATCCCTTTGTAATTCTATATTGATCTCTTTATTCGTCAACCCCCTCGTAATTGCAATTGATGCGTGTAATATAGACGAAATAAATTCACATCGGGTCGCCTCATTGGCCTCTATCATTGTTTTTACATTCGTTAACCGTAGTATTATTTCATTCATGCATTGTTCGAGTACCTTATTTTCTCGGGAACTATAACGAAAAATGTTAGTCTATCTTCGATCACTTTGCCAAGAAAAAATAAAATAAAGTACCACATACCCGGATTGAATTGCTTGATACTCGTAATATCCTCCCCATTGACCTTATATTTACGGAGAACGTCCTTCAGCTCTTCTATGGTTTTGTACGACGAGAAGCTACGTATCTTCTGTTCGGAGAGATTTTCAACGAACTTTGCAAGTGATTTAGCTGGTCCTCGGAAATCCTTTCATCACGTAGGATCTTGAAATCTGCTTCGACAAGATCTAAATCTTCCTGTCTCTGTAGATAGTCGATAAGCTCTTCTGTCTTAAACTTTCTAACTACGTCTGCCATCGTGCGAGCTGACCTTTCTTCCGTCAGTGTGGAGGACGTGGAAACAGGTGAAGAAGGAATTGAATCGTGTGAAGACATGGTATTTTTTATAACGGTGTATGGCGTAAAAAATCTGGTTTATGCGATGCGTTTGTGAAGCGAGATAATGCAAGGAAGAGAATGAAAAAATTCTTTGGACGGATCTGTGACTATTTATAGTATATAGACTACGCAACTTATATAAATGGCGGATATACGACGATCTCGGAGATTGCGGAGATTTCGACTTCCCAAGGCATAAGTCCTTTGATATACGCACTAATAGAGATTGTCTGGTTGACCTTCCTTATCACCTTTTCGAGATTCGTTTACGCTTGATCTTATCGTGAAGCATGTTTATTATAGAAATATCTTCTAGTCTAAATACGTATAGCGAAAAAAAAAGATTTACGCATGTTTCACAAACTTCTACGCTGATCACTGATTCGTCGATTAAATACGTAATACTGTATAATTTTTGCAATATTATTACATAGAAATTTACTAAGATATACTACCAGTCTACTACTAAACAAAACTCAATAGAGATAACCTCTCTCAGAAGGAACTAACCTTATAGCTTGTTGCTATCACTTTAGTGGGAACTAACCTGTCAAGACTGGGCTAGTGTTAAAATAAATTTTGAGGATATAAAAGTTGTCTATCACATTATTTATCTATTATGTTATAAATTTGTTAATCAGGTGAATAAACTGATCTTTTATAAATTGTTCTTTTTGCATAAAGAGTGGATCTTCTTCTTTAGTTTCATATTAGAACTTCTTTTTCTTCTATTTTGTGATACTATTTGTGCTCTTAATTCTTGAAAGACCTTATATCTTTTTGTCCATATTTGATAAAAGTATTTGATAATTTTTATATGCATTAGAAAGATGCAACTTTTCTAACTAGCTTATCTGGGATTATTCTTTTGATATTGCCAGTTAGTTTTTTAAGAATGATTCTTTTATACTTGCTATTAAGTATTCCTTGTATCTCAGTTTGATTTTTTTTTATCTGATCTATGAATTTTTAATTTTTAATTTTACTCACATATGTTTCCATACTTTCAACTATTGTATTGATTAGGAATGTCTCAGTATTTTATCTGTTTTGCAGATATATAAAAGGATATGTATTAGTTTTAGGTTCTTTACATAATAAGTAGTTCTTGTTTTGATATAAGGAAAGAGCTTTTATATATAGTTTGCTTTTGATTGATAGCTCCTCATTCCATATGCTAAGATAGAATTTCCTTAATTTTTTATCCATACAGATTATATGGTAATCCCTTATCTCGGTTGGTTACAGATATGTTATAATTGTGAGCCATTCTGTTTCTTTAATAATTCTGTCATTGAAATTACATCTTGTTTTGTTTAATAGTCTCCATTTTGCCAGAAATAGCACTGTAAGCATTTTTGTAATTATTTTTATAGGAACTTTAATGGAAATGATGTTTTATTAGGAGGTTATTCCAATACATTGATTAAGTATTCCTGCTATCTCAATTTCATTTTTTCCTAGTAATATATCTTTTCAAGAATGTATTTATACTAGTTTATCTACTATTTTATTGTGTTTATTCCTAAGTGATCCTTAACTTTGAAAAGTAATAGTTTTATTTTATTTTCTTTGCACCATTCTGAGATTTGTAGCAATATGTTATAGTTTTTCTATATTTTTATAATCTTTTCAATACTTTCTCCTTATGTTTTAGGATTTTATTAATTGCTGCTTGGCTATTAATAAATATGTTTGCTGTAATGTATTCAAGTAGCATGCTAAGAGCTATTAGAATAGCTACTATTTTTGTTCTAGTTGATAAGGAGTACCTGATTATTTGTCTCTAGAAGATATATGTCTTCCAGTCTGAAGTGTTGATAATCTACACCAATCCCATATTGTTTTTGTCTTTAAATTTAATTAGGTAGCCATTAGTATATATATTGAAAATTGCATAGTTGCTTAGTTTCTCTTAAATTGTTTTTAAAGTAGTTAGACTATCTATGGAATCTTTTATTATATAGTTTGATCTTTCTATGTTCCTTTGTAGCCTTGTTAGAATTGTAATTTATGTTTCAACTTCTTGTGAGTTTATGTTATCTTGTGCAGTATATTTTATAAGTATAATATTCAAAGAGTTGAAAAATACTCTGTTTTTTCATCAAAGTTCTTTATCTATAATATTGATTTTGTTTATTGAGATTTTACTTTTTTGAACTGGTTTAGTGATTGATCATTATTTTGTGATAGTAAAATTGCATTTACTGATATTGTCTTCTAGTGTATTAATGTTGTGACTAGGGCATATCTCTAAGGAGAAGTTTTCAGATTTTTAAATATAGTGTCTATATTATGTTATATACTGGTCAATTTTTTATTATTTCTTTTCAATGACTGTATTATCTTCCTTAATAGTATAGATTCAATGCAATCTAGTGGTTGAGATTTCAGATATTGGGGTTCCTTGTTTGAATATATTTGAAGAGGTGTTCTAGAAGTTAGGAATTTTTTTTCTTTCAATTAATTCTTTTAATTTTCTACTGATAGTGTTGAACCAGTTGGAGTTGGATTCAGAACTGCTTTTTTTCCTATTTTAATGATTTGATACTAGTCTAGGGACTTGGTTAGTATTTGACCAATGAACATGAAGTTGTGCTTTTTTAATTCCTGATAATATTTTGAATAGAAGCTTTGCTCATGATTCTTTCTATTGATGTATCAACTTCTTTTATAAGTATCAGGCTGTCTGTATTCAGAGTTAGTGAGAAGATGAAACCATATCTTTTCATGAGTTAGATTATATCATGTATAAGGTTTTTTTCTAAATTCATTAGGAAGTGCTCTAGTTTATTCAGGATAAGTTGTGTTGATCAAATATTGTTTGAATTGATTGTAATCTAGCTCTTGCATATCACTTGCTTTATTCTGTTTGTTGATTTTTTTGTATTAGTTGGTATAGTATAATAGTAGTTGTCTATTCTAAAGATATATAATATTATATTCATACTTGTTGAAGAGTATATTATTAGGAACTGTTCTAGTTAAATCTAACTTATATTTAAAAATAGATGTGATACTACTTATGAATAGGTTTATACTTTTTCAAAGAGCATCATATTATTACAAAGGTATTCTGTACTGAGGATTAGTATATGGTTAATTACATATTGTATCCATTTATCAGTTAGGTTTTTTATTCCTAGCAGGGATTTGTTTTTCTCAAATTTTTATTAAATTAAGAT